AACGCTTTTTGAAGTCTATGAATGTCATATATAATGGGATTTGATACTCGTTCGACTTTTCAATCAGTATTTTTACTGTTAGAAGATGGTCGCTAGTACTAAAACCCTTTCTGAATCCCGCTTGTTCTCTTGTTTGGTATTCGTCAAGCTTAGTTGTTAGTCTATTTGTCATGATCTTCGTTAATAGTTTAAATACAACACTTAGTAACGTTATAGGTCTATAGTTTCTTTCGGTCACCTTTTTTGAACATTAATAGTGTCTCCGCATCGTTCCAGCTATCGGGTATTTCTTTTGTGGTCAATATTTTGTTCATGAGGATATGTAGAGTAGAGTAGAATAGAGTAATTATTTAACTACATAACATATACAAATATTGTTTGTAGCAAGTCAAAAAAAAAAACATACATAGTATTAAATGATAAAAACATTAAATAATACAAACATGAAAACATATTAAACAGATAAATAATACAAACATGAAAACATATTAAACAGAAAAATATTTTATGGCAAAGTTACGGTAAGCAGTTCAGTGGATGTTCTGCAATGAGTCATATATTCTTCTGAGCAGTAAAAAACAATGTTTTAAAAGATATTTTTTTTATAACTTTATCGAAACTATTACAGCTTAGCTCTTTTATACTTTTTGGTAAAATATTGTAATAGTTATAATTAAGACTATTTTTTTCTGAAAGACTTAATCTATAGCGATTTGTTCGTAGGTAGTGACAGTTCCGCGTATTGTGAACATGGACATCAGACTGCTTTATTAAATGGGCACGTTTTCTGTGAATTGAGTTAAAACTTGAAATATCAACAGAGTAGGTAGCGGCATTATTTTGAATTTGATAAAGAAAGGTCGGCAGTGTTCTAGATAACTAACCCCTGCTAAAATCCTGACAGCTTTCTTTTGTATTCTAAAAATTTGAAGTGCATTTGTTGAATTGCCCCATATAATTAAACCATAGTTTAGGTGAGAGTGGAATAAAGAAAAATATGTCATTTTTAATGTTTCAAAGTTGACAACCCTTGCTAGTTGGCGAATAACAAATAATGAACTGGATAGCTGTTTCTTAAGGTGTGAGATATGAGCAGACCAGTTGAGTCGATTATCTATGGTTATTCCCAATAGTTTAACAGTCTCTTTGTTAACTAGATCATTGTGTAAATTACTTGCAGATATAACCATATTTTGCGTTTTATCAGAATTAAGTTTTAGTTTGTTTGCAGCAAACCATGAGCTAGATTTAGTAGTAACTTCCTCATGAGACATTTTTAATCATCATTATTTTTTTCCTGATATAACGTATGTCGTATCATCTGCGAATTGTATGGTTTTGTACGGAGATATGAATTTAGGCAGATCGTTGACATAAATAATAAACAAAAGAGGTCCTAAGACCGAACCTTGTGGGACTCCATGTTTTACGGATAGAAAATCAGAGAGATGACCTTTAGACACTACCGCCTGGTGTCTGCCACATAGATAAGAAGTTATAAGCTTAAGAGGGATACCTCTGATTCCATAGTAATTTAATTTGTGGAGCAAAATGTCGTGTGAAACGCAGTCAAAAGCCTTTGATAAGTCACAAAGAGAAATTGCTATGCGATTGCCGCGTTACAAGCCCCTCAATCACCTCGCTCACAACATTAAATACCGCGTTCGTAGTAGAACGAGCACTTCTAAATCCATATTGTGAGTTGCTAAAGTAATTATTTGACTCAAAATAGGAATAAAGTTGTTGTTTGATAACCTTTTCAATCACTTTCCCAAAAGTAGAAAAACAATGCTTATGGGTCTGTAATTGTCAATTTTTGAGGAATCACCTTTTTTGTAGATTGGTAGTACTTTTGAGTATTTTAGTACTGCTGGAAATACTCCGGTGGATAGAATTAAATTAATAAGATGAGTAAAAGGTGTTAAAAACTATTTGGTAAGTTTCTTTTAAAATTTTTGCTATTAATCTCGTGAACGTCCCTACAATTAGAATTACTAAGCGACTTTATTATTTGAGAGACCTCTTCTTCCAGAACGGGCCGAAAAAAAAAAATGACTTGCTCGGAGAAGGATAATTTCTATAATTGACGAGGACATCGATGTTAATGGAGGGAGAGATGTAATTATATTCTCTTATATGTAGGACTTCTCTAGTTGTTTTCCCTCCTCTCTTCGGCATCTCTGCAGTTATTCTATCTTTTCCAGGTGACTTATGGTTTTTTAATTCTTGAATTGCTTTCTTTATTTCTGTTTTACTTATTTCTAGTTGTAGGTCAGAGTTTATATTTTTTATTTTTGTGTTTAATTGTTTAAGAATTTCTTGCTGTGGTTTATGTCTTGTTCTGTATAGGTGCGTATAGTATTCTTGTGTCAACTTTATTATTTGTTTTATATCATTAATGGTTGTTCCTTCGCTGTTTGTCATTTCATTTATCTGAGTTTTACCGAGTCATTCTTTTACGGCAATGATTATTTCCAGATTTAGCCATACGGCTCACACTCCCTCCAAGAGGAAAATCCACTCATCCCAGACACCTACGGTATCAAAAGGATTGAGCTCTGGTGACACTCCCGTGTTATCAAGCAATGGGTGACTTGATATGCTGGAGTATCTCCCAAAAATTTTCGTACACATCGGGATGTTGAGAGTAGTACAGCTTTCTGCATGGTCTTGTAGAGATGTTCATTCAGACCTAGTTTGTTTATGTTTTATAGGAGGTTCTTTGGAATGACTTCCGTAGTAGAGACAATAATTATTGAATTCTAAGTCTTCTAAATGAATTTCCAGATCCCTGTACTTGGTGATTTTTTCGTTCGGTTTAACACGAAAATTATTGTTGTTGGGTATCGTCATATCAATTAATGTTGTTTGTCTCTTTAGTTTATTAACTAGTATGAGATCTGGTCTATTATGTGCCACTGTTTGGTCTGTGAGCACCGTGCGGTCTCAGTATAGCTTGTAGTTGTCATTTTTAAGTATACTCTCAGGAACGTATTGATAATATGGAAGATGGTTTGTTTGATGCAAAGTTTGAATGATATCTTTTGGTGAAGTATCTTTCCTACTAAGTCGTGCTGTTCCTTATATTCAGTTGCAGCAAATGTCATTTTGGACCTAAGGGTCTTTGACGATACATTTCGGGTAATTTTTGGTTGGTATAACCTGATCCTGAATGGTCTGTAGTGAACCTTCTGTTTTAGCAAACATCTTTCCTGATGTCAGCCAATAATTCGACACTCTATTGTCGACATGGTCTTGACTGACCTCATTGGGATGTCGCTTATGCAGAGGTTTGCCCATCCAGGTGGGCATTTTTTTATTATTACTAAAATGGTTCATGCGCATTGCTGGTTCCCTTAGTTTAATCGGTGTTGTGTCATCTACTGCACAAATCGCGCGATAAAGAGTAGATGTCTCTGCCTGCACCTAAAAAGAACTTTTTAAATTAGTAATCTGTTTTTGTAATTGCTCGCTTATATCCATATATCCTCGTCCTCCTAAATACCCAACAATGTCGTTCTTTCTACTGCACTTCGAGGATGGTGTTTTTGTGCCTTTGTGAGGTGTGTTCGTACTTTTCCCTGAAGATTTTCTATATCTGTTTTTGTCCACTTAACAATACCAAATGAGTAGCTAAGTGCGGAACATGCGTAGTGCCTTAAACAAATTTTTATTGTTAAAATGTGAACGAAGCAGCTGTTTTACCTTTCGTATAAACTCAGTAGTTATCTCAGTTTTTTTTGCTTATGGTCAATCTTCCGCGCTTCCGAGGTATTTATACATATAATTTTCACCCATGGCCTCGATATTCTGGCCGTTTTGCATATCAAATCCGCCGAGCTGAACCTTTCCTTCGATTATATTTAAGACACGGCACTTGTCAAGACCGACGTGCATACTAATATCATTTGAGACATTTTCTACAGTTTTTAGCATCTGATCTAAGTGGTTTCGAGTAGAAGCCATTAATTTCAAATCATCCATATACAACTAACGATTAAGCTTCGTATTGTTAGTTTTGGTACTAAAACCTGAGTCAGTGGAGTTCATTAGCTGAGATAGTGGGTTCATCGTTAAACAGAACCAGAGAGGACTTAACGAGTCCCCCTGGGAATGGCCCCGGTTGATTGCAATATTTTCAGTTTCGATATTGTTTTTACCAGGTATTTGGAGGTGAATTTTTGTCTTCCAATCTGACATTATATGTTTTAAAAAGATCACTATGTTATCATCGACTTTATATATTTTTAATATATCTATAATCCATTCATGCGGTACTAAATCAAACGCTTTCTTGTATCCTTGTATGTAAAAACGTTGATAAAAGATGTCTGTTTGCCTTGCAATTTTTAGAAGGCTCAGATTATAAAGCAGAAATCTGAATTGTGTTTCGAAACTATTTTACGATTTTTGTATGTAGATGTCGCTAGTGCGTCCGTATTGAAGCCATGTTATTGTTGCTTCTTAAAAGGCAGAAAATATTGATTTTTCACGTTGAGGACTCCTATGAATAGATCTTCTGACGAGACCTATTAGGTCGAAATACGTATCAAGAGATACATAGGATTTTGTTTGCGTGAAATCAAATATTTGCTGCCTTTCTTCATTAAAATTTTGACAGTCTCAAAAGAGTCGACGATATTACCCTTTAAAGGTCATTTTAACAATGTTTTAAAAACGTCTGAACACGTGTTTAATGAATTCTAGGATTCCCAATAAAAAATTTTTTAATTCTTGTTTGTGACAAGACAATTGTTTGTTCTACTTGAAAAAAAAGCTCACATAATGAGAATATTGTTTTATAGTCCGTGTATTTATGTTTTTTTCTGACGTAAATGTATAATAAATTTATAATAAAGATATCTACTTTTGATATGGTATTTCCCCATGGTACAAAACCTATTCGTCTATGCTATGTTTAATGTTTACTGAAGCAGGACGCTCAGTTATGTGTGAGTTATTATATAAACCAGCAAAATATAAATATATTTAGTTTAAGGTGATAATTGTGAACCGCAATGTATAAAATAGTAAACTTTGCTGTAGTGTGTGCTGTGCTAATTTTAGCTGTAAATGCATACGAATTCAACAATCCCGATTATAGTAAGCTACTGCCAATTTTATTATTACTTAAATGTAATATTATTTTAGTTGCACGTTAGACATTATATTGTAAGTTATTATTAATACAATATTTTTTATAATTTCGATGTGTAACCAATTTTAAAAAGTTACGTTATTATTCTCAGATTATACAGCCACATAATATATCTAATGTTACAAGTTTTAATTTGTATAAGGTGTGTCACGAGGAATTCACGTTATCTAGGTATATATCGGAAACTACTTACACGATATTTATGAAAATGATTTGTGAGGTTATTAAGTTATTAAACTAACTATTATTAAACTATCACAAAGAAAATATTTTGACAGACATGGCTGTTTCAGTTATACCGAAATTTAACTTTGTTATTTGAAATAGAACACCCTGTATATTATTGCATTTTTAGATTTTGCATAAAATTCTAGGCAAAATTTTATAAAAAGTACTGTAGCTTAAAACTTTATTTTTTATTAGTTAGTCAACTTTTCTCAAAAAATTTGACACATAGATACCAACTTTCTAAAATTATTAACTTAATAATAATTTACAAACATATCGCGTTGAAAACTTTTGCACATAAAGAATTGGTAACGTTCTTTCAAGAATTTATATTAAAATCAATATTCTAAATAGAGTTTTTTTTACAAAGGATACGCCATTTCTTTAATCTTTAAACCATAGTAACCCAATCATTTTAAATAAAACATCCTGTATTTGATAATTTTGACAAAAAACTAGTTGTCTTTCAAACAGTGTTAAAGTTTCCTATAAATACTTACTTAAATTTATTACTTTTGCAGATAAAATATCTATTTTTTTATATTTGTGGTTTAATGTTAAAAGTAAGATATTTTTGTTGCTTTATTTTAGCAGGCTGTGTATTAGGGTGAAACGAAAAATTTCAAGTCAATATTTTTTATGGGGCTAGTACGAAAAAGTTACGTTTTGATATACAGTGTAGGTAAAAGTTTATGGTCGGTATGGTAAAACTTAACAGGATATCTAACACAGATGTAATATCATATTTTCAGCGAATAGACAAAGATAACAATCATATTTCCCCTTGGTCTCCCCTCCATATATCTCATTAACGCCCATTGTGCATTAGTGAGACGATTAGTTCCAATTAGAGATATTTTACATATCTCTGGTTCCGATCCTAATACACCAAAAAAATAAAGGCGGAGTACATTTTTATCGGAACCGTTTTTCGTGAACTGTAACTAGTTGATTGTTTACCAGTAGTTTCAAATCAGCTAGTACACAAGCAAACGTATTGCTATCAACCGTGTTCTTCTTTTATTTAAAATTAAACTAGATTTTGAACATGTGTTCACAAGGAACAGATTTATTTACAATACTACAATATTTTATGAAAAATAGTGGTTCCAGTGGGTTTGCCAGGTATGATAACTGTTGTTGCTTGAAAATTTGCTTTAAGTCATTACAGATTTGAATATGTTGACCTTTTGAGGATTGACTGTGTTACACAAAAAGCTTGCTTGCTTGGCTGCTTGGTCTGCTTTTTCATTACCGGGGATGCCGACATGGGATGGTAGCCAGATGATCACGACATCTAACACCTTAAAAAGCGAGTGCACTATGTGCCCTGTGGATTTCTTAATGGTGACGTTAAAATATTTGTAAAGATATTTGTTAAGGTATACGTTTTTGAAGATGAAATACCGGTCTGTGCTGCTGAAGATACTGTAATAGATTTATTTCTGCTTGAAAATATAGCAGTTGGAACAGTTGTAACAAAGCTATTTACAATGAGTGAGCAAACTACCGAAAATGTCGCCATGTTGTTTGCAATGGAAACATACATTGTCTAGTGTTTAAAAAATTCGATTGTTAGTTTCGTCATACGTTATTACAATGGAATCGGTAATAGAGGTTGTGGGTGGGGGATAAGATATGATAAGTAATAATAATACATGTTTGTATTTTGGATTGGTGGTTCCTATTCGCAAAAATAATATTGATGAAGCTGGTTTTAGCTCCTAAAAATTAATGTTCTTTCTCTATACATCATGACCTACATTTGCGAGAACTGCTTTACAGAATTCGCCAAAACTGACAAATAAAATAAATTAGGTTGTAGTGGGTATTATTGCAGAATTTTTTGTATGAAATGCTTCTGGGTTTAATAAAACAACCACAAAAGCCCTCTAGGACCAAAAATTTTCCTATCATAAGATTCTTATGTACATTCTGTGACTCACCAAGCTTAAAATATTTAAATGAAAAAATTACCAATTTATCAAAAAATTAAATACCTTTAGAGAACTGTAAAGACGTAATCCAATTAACTAAAAAATCAACTGATAATTTGCCTGTTTTCATTGAGACATACGATATATTATCCAAAAATGAGAGCAAACTGGTCTGTCTTACAAAAAAAATTGACAAGATCCATAAAATAAATAACCTGCTAAATCATGACAATGCTTTAAAATCTATAAGGTAGATGGAACAAGATATTTTTATTATATCGTTAGTTTTTTTTCAGCTGTTCTGATGACACTTATTAAAATGCAAGGCTCAAATTCAACTGAGATTAAGATGGGGATAGAAAGGCTCTCTTCAAAAATCAGTGAAATATCTATTTAAATGGGTCTTACCAAAAAATTATCTACTATACCAACGAAAAAAGAAGATTGGAGAAAAATATATTTTATTTCAACTCTGGTACCCAAACTGAAGTCCCGCAACATTTCGAATCAACAGAGAAACAACAGCTAATTTACAACCCTATGCAAATTTTTCACTTTATTAAAGAGAAGCTGGTTATCAAGAAATATATTAGATGTTATGCCCACCATCAAGATTCCGACACATCGAGTTGTTTCTCATTCAAACTAGGCATAAAATCTAAAACCTCCATTGACTTATTATTTAATAAGGACATTTGGCCACCTGATGTGAACGGTAAATGGTCTACAGAAACTTTATGTTTCGAACCAATGCCTTTGGTATTGGTAATTGGTATATAGAATTATTAATAGAACTGAGGTGAAAGCTGATCTTGCTGCTTTTAGGTTCTTTTACCTATAAAAATCAAGGAAAATTCACCCTAACTACTATTCCGTTGCCTCTCCAAAACGAAATTTTTAAATAATATGACGTGTTTTGTGGGACTAGAAATTTTTTTAGCTCAAAACTTTCGTAAATTTCAAAATTTGTGCTTTACTTCTGCGTAACATTTTCCCTCTGTAGACGTGGACTAAAATTTCAGCGATTTTTGTTTGTTTGTAGTTTCAATGAGGCATTTTTTTTTAAATACAATTAAGGTAAATCATCACAAACCCTGGATTACCAAAGGTATTCGCATATCAGCCAAAAATATGAGTTTACTACTGTACATCTGTATAATGATGATAGACCCGAAGAACTGGAGACATTTACTTGAAGGTGAAGGACCAGAAATACTCAAATCAGAAATACTGCATGCTATAAAGTTAGAAAAGAACAATAAAGCCGTTGGCCCTGAATAACATACCAACAGAGATGTTAAAGCTTATAAATGAGGAGAACATTGGAATACTGGTCAAGCTTTTCAATTATGTTTATTCGACTGGTGATATCCCTGAAGATTGGTTAAAGTCCGAATTCATAACACCACCAAAAAACAATGTCCGAAAAACTTAAGCAATTATTGAATGATAAGCCTTATGAGTCACACTTTAAAGATATTTTTACGCATCATCCACAGTAGAATCAGAGATAAATGTGAAGAAGACCAGGATGAAACACAATTTTGCTTCAGAAATGGACTGGGAACTCATGACCCCTCTTTGCACTAAATGTATTACTGCAGAAATGTCGAGATCAAAGGAAAGACGTCTTTGCTGTATTTATTAACTATGAAAAGGCCTTTGATCGAGTACAAGCATCACAAATTAATTACAATATTAAAAGATAAAGGGGTTGATAGTCAAGATATACGATTCATAGAAAAGTTATACTGGCGCCAAACAGCGACAGCTTGCATAAACGGAAAATCAACAGAAATATGTAAAATACAAAGAGGTGTCAGACAGGGTTGCATACTATCCCCACTGTTATTTAATTTATATTCAGATAGAATATTTAAAGAAGCGTTGATAGAATATTTTAATTGATGACATGAATGGACTACAATGCCTTTTAAATGCCATTGATACAGTGGGAAGAGAGTTTGGCCTAAACATAAACTAAAAAAAAAAATTTTGTTTAAAATCCTTTATAAAAGGTATATAAAAATGCCTCAAACGGGCTATCACAAACACATTGCAAAACGTTTTCGGATTAAACAATCCATCATCAGTGCAAACGGTTGTAGATGCTAGTAGCCACCAAAATATATGGGTAAAAAACCCTTTAAATGTTATAAATTTGAAGTTGTTTTACATTATTAGTATTTCTAATTTGAGATGGTTAAGTTACCGTTGGATAGGTAACATGGCGTATCCAACGGTAACTTAACCATTCTTCTGTAATGATAACTTGCAACTGGTCAGTCCTCTTATACGGTGTCGAAGCAATGGACATTAAAAATATCCACCATTAATCGTCTGGAGGCCTTTGCAATGTGGCTGCACAGACGTATACTAAAAATTCCATGGACGGCTATGCTGACAAATGTGGCAATCCTTGAGAGACCAAATGCTGCTCGCGAGCTGCTTGATAACATCAAATGTAGAAAGATGGCCTATTTTGGACACGTAGTAAGGGGAGACCGATATAATATTCTTTGACTTATTATGATGGGTAAAATCGGAGGACGCAGAGGAATTGGGTAGAAAGCAGGCCTCTTGGTTGAAGAATATCTGGGAGTGGACAGGAATAAGACAAGCTGAGCAACTCTTTAGAATAGCTCGAGACAGAGACAGTTTCACCATGTTAATCGCCAACGTCAAGGGAACTTGATGTGTATTTACTGATTTAATATGTATTTACTGATCCCATCTACTGAGTTAGTAAAGAAATCTATAATATATTCGACAACAAAAGT